CCCCCTCAGAACCAATTCAAGGAAAAAAAAAGGAGAAAAAAACGCCCGCGTCCAACTACTACGCAAGCGCGTCGGAGCCCCAGCCGCCAGCGCAGCGTCCGAAGGGCCGCCGGGTGTCACGTGGCTCACGGGCACGCCCCCTTGGAAACGGTCGCTGGGAGGAGCGTGAGTTTCGCGCATGGGCGTAGAGACCGCGGGCTGTGGAGGTTGAGCCGGCGCCACTGGCAGCGCGGGTTAAGCACGTTGGTCACGTGTCAGCCGCCGCTCGGGTTTGAGACGGTTCGCGCGCTAATTGCTGCTGAGGCGCGGGCGGGACGAATGTCTGGCCCGCGGGAGACTCTGGTGGAGGCCTCTGATGGTGTGCTGGGCGGCTGAGGAGGCAGGCAGTGGATCTGAGGGAATGTGAGGCTTGTGCCGCGTGCTTCTCTCGTGGGTGGCTCTGCGGGGGTCTCAGCCTGCGGGGCTTGAACGCTGAAAGTTGTGGCTTGGGGGTGGGGAGGCCCCAGGCACAGACTCTCAAAGGTCGCCTGTTCCCCATTGTTGTTACGTGATAGACATCCTCGATTTCCTCGTGGGGAGCTGCTGAGGTGAAGTCGACTTCCCCAAAGCTGCAGGACCAGTAGGGACCCACGGGAGATAAAGTCCCCGGAGGGATTCTTCAGCTGCAGGACGAACACCTGGATTAGGACTCCTGTTTCTGTGCTTTTAGCTGGCTACCGCACTCCCAAGCAGTGGAGTTCAGTTATACAAAGGGAGTCCGGATGGTCGAATTCTTTTACAGTTTAAATGACAGAAGACACTATGGTCATTAGACCCATCATTAACATCTAGAAACTATTTTCAGAAAAATAAGCATTTCTAGAGCAATAGTTCCTAACTAAAAAGGGTATTGCTAATGCAAATACTCCTCCAGAGATAATTTAAGTGTCTGAAACCAGCCAGGTCATGTTGACTTCCAACTAAAGTCACAGTTACTGGAAGGCTTAGGCAAGAGGAACAACCCAGGCCAGTCTGAGAAACAAAAACCCTCCCTCAGTAATACATACCAGAGCTGGACATGGTGGTACAGGTTTATAATCCTAGCACTTGAAGACTTAAGAGGTAGGCAGATCTCTGCGTTCCAGGCTAGCTTGATCTACATAGTTCCAGGTCAGCCAGAGCTACACAGTAAGACCCTGTCTCAAAAACACAGCAACAAAATTAACCCAAAAGGGGTGGCGTGTAGCTCAGAAGCAAAGCACTTGCCTAGCACCTGTGAGGCCCTAGGTTCAAGCCCCAGTACTACCAAACAAAACCATAAGTAAATTGGAGGTGGTAGCCCCACACACACACCGTAATTCTAACTACTAAGTATTGATGAGCAAAAGCCCATCTAAAAGCCAAATTCTTTGGAGTTAGATGTCAGTGTGAATGAACCCTGCCTGCATTCTTCAGGGTTATAGGCAGTCTTAAGTAGTTTTAGAAAACACTGAAATCCAACTGTTGATAATCTGGAAACTGGGACAAGACTGTAAGTTTAAACCCATGTTGAACTATCAAGTAAGATCCTTCAACAGATAAACTTGTAAGCAAAATACTATGTGAATACTGTACCACTTCATAAAAGAGCCTTAAGCGGGCTAGAGAGATAGCTCAGTGTTTGAAAGCACTTGTTCTTTCAGGGGCCCTAGGTTCAGTTCTTGCTTAACTAAAGTACATCAACCCAGAATATGGTTTTTGTGCTTAAAAGCTTGCCCTGAGTAAGGCTTAGGGCTACTTGGGATTCTGAACACCTGGTGTAGTCAAGGGTTAGCTAATAAACACTTTCTATTGGCTTAAACCCATGTCTGAGCAGTCTTCTCTGGTGGACACCCTACAGCACTGGAATTTTAAAACCTTTATACCCCATAATAAATCTAAAATTTAAAAAAAAGATAACACATCTTAAGATTGTACATCTGGCCGGGCATTGGTGGCACACGCCTTTAATTCCAGCACTCGGGAGGCAGAGGCAGGCAGCTCTCTGAGTTCGAGGCCAGCCTGGTCTCCAGAGTGAGTGCCAGGATAGGCTCCAAAGCGAAACAGAGAAACCCTGTCTTGAAAAACCAAACCAAAACAAAACAAAACAAAAAAAAAAAAGGATTGTACATCTGCAGGTGTGGGCACAGAGTAATTGTTAGGTAACAGTTAAGGAGATTCAAGAACATAGTGTAGCCATCTGCTTGATGGTGGTAAAGGCATGATGAATGGCATCACAATGGTGGGAATGTGTGTAAGGGAGAGATCAAGGCCAGACAAGAAGCCAGAGTGGGTCTATCTGGGAACTAATTCACAGGAGTCATGAGAACAAAGGCAGCCTCCAATGATCTGTTTTTATTGAACAAAACAAAACTACTGAAGAGCATAAGGCCTAAATTCCCCTGTACATGACAGCATGTATCGTACTCCCAGTATTCAGGAGGCTAAAGCAGGATGACCTGAGTACCAGGCTAGTGTAGGTTACATAGTGAGACCCTGCCTCAAAAATAAACCTCTTAAACTGGGCATAGTGGTGCACGCCTTCAACCCCAGCACTTGGAAAGCAGAGGCAGGCAGATTTCTGTGAGGTCTATAGAGCTAGTTCCAGGACAGCCATGGCTGTTACAGAGAGAAATCCTGTCTACAAACAAACCCAAAAACCTTTGGGGATGGGAATCAAAACATCACCCTGTAATTCCAATCCCAGGGGAGTCAATGCCTCTGACTTCCTGAAGTGAATGTGCACATACCCAGAAGCCATATACACAGAAATAATAAAAATGTTTAACAAAAATATCTACCACTGCAGCACCACACTGAGGACCACCTTTAGCACATGAGCCTTTGGAGGGACAAACTGCATCCAAACCACCACAAACGATACATCCAAAAAGCTTGAGTTTTGAGATGGGGTTTAGCTGGATTATGTAAGAACTGCAAAAATTAAACAACAAAACCCCAACTCTTCCAATCAACAAATAAGCCAACGAACAAGTCACACAGTTTTGAAAAGAAATACAAATGGTAGACATAAGTATTTTTAATGGTGTTCAACATCTTTAGGTATCAATATAATGTCTATTACAGCTACTTAGTCCTTCTCACACAGATCAGAATAACATCAAGAAGACAAATGGCAACAGATGCAAGAATGTGGGGAAAGAAGAAAACTTCCTGAAGCGGGGTATAAATTGGGATAATCACTATGGAAATCAGCATGGAGGCTTCTTAAAAAAAAACAAAAACTAAAAACAGCTTGGGTATGATGGCATGCACCTTTAATCCCAGCACTTGGAAGGTAGAGACAGGTGGATCTCTATGAATTCAAACCGTCCTGGCCTCCATAGCAAGTTCTGGGACAGCCAGGGCTATAAAGAGAGTCCCTGTCTTGAAAAACCAAACAAAAATCTAAAAATGGACCTACCATGTAACCCAGCTCTACCATTTCCCAATGTGGTACATATCCAAAGGGTTAAGACATACCATAGAGATGCACACACAACAATGTTACTGATGCACTATTCATAATAGCTAGGATATGGAATCAGCCTATATCCCCATGCATAGATGAATGAAAGAAATTGGTACATGTTTACAGTATAATTTTATCCAGGCCTTAATATATATAAGATCATGGCATTTGCAGGAATTAGATAGAACTGGTAATTATTATATTAAGTAAAGAACACAGAATAAGACAAACACCACATTCTCTCTCATGTGGATCCCAGATTTTAATTTTTATATGTGTTGGGGGGCACATGTTATGAAATTACAAAAGGAACTCTGAGGGGGAAAGAGGTCTTTACATAAGCAGATGGTGGCTTAGAAAGATATCCAAGAATAGTATTCTTCAATTCAATCCTCAGCATCACAAAATATTATCCAAAGTCATAGTTTTTTACTTATTTGACTTGTGAATTCTATTGTTTCTTAATTTTAATATGATCAACCATTTTAGTCTTATTTTTTGCTATTGATTTTCTGTTTTTTTAAGCTGAGTTCAAGAAATATATGTTTATTATATAAAGGTTTTGGCTTTGTTGAGTTTCAGTGTGTAAACTTTTTTGTAAATATTTATTATGTCCTTGGGGAAAATATATTCTTTCACTTTGCAGATTTGCAAATTCCTCTTATAATTTGGTTTTTGGTTAATATTGGTTTGTGCTTGGAGATTATGTTATTTAGGCTTAACATGTGTTTAGAACATCTGTACTTTTATGAGAACATGTTCCTTGAGAGCCTCTTACTCCAATATTAGTCTTTTTCATTTTCTCTAAGAATGAAATAGGACTAGGATCTTTCTCTTGTCAACACCTATTTGGTGAACTATTCTTTTAATCTCTGCCTTTCTTGATACTTCAGTGTCAGTCAGGTATTAGTTTTCTTCTTGATTCTGTTATCAAATACCCAACAAAAACATCTTTTTTTTGTTTTGTTTTTGAGTCAGGGTTTCTCTATGTAGCCTTAGAACCTGACCTGGAACTCACTCTGTAGACCAAGCTTGCCTTGAACTCACAGAAATCAACCTGCATCTGCCTCCTAAGTGCTGGAATTAAAGGCATGCACGACCACCACCTGGCCTACTACAAAAGCATCTTTAGAGGGTGTCTTAGTTACAGTTTTTACTGTTGGGAAGAGACATCACGACCACTGGCAACTCTCTTTTTTTTTTTTGTAAGCAGACTGGATATGAGATTTATTACTGAACATGATTTGGTAGGGTGTAGGAGAGCACTGTGGAAGCTCTCAGGAGTGCAGGGCTTGCCACTTGTCCAGGGGACCACGATTAGGGATATATTTGACCCCACAGCCATCAGGAAGGAGCCGTTTCTCAGCAACCATGTCTTCAAATTCATCTACATTAAACTTGGTGAAGCCCCATTTCTTTGAGATGTGGATCTTCTGGCGGCCAGGGAACTTGAACTTTGCTCTACGAAGAGCCTCAATCACATGTTCCTTATTCTTCAGCTTGGTGCGGATGGACATGATGACCTGGCCAATGTGAACCCTAGCCACTGTGCCCTGGGGCTTCCCAAAGGCACCACGCATACCTGTCTGGAGCCTGTCGGCTCCAGCACAGGACAACATCTTACTGATTCGGATGACATGGAAAGG